AGTCAGAGATATCAGGACAGTTACTTTCAAATCTGGGATAATTATATGTGGCTGATTCCTACAGCAGGATGCCTCAGTCAAAGGGACCCTTTATGTTGGGAAGGGAGAAACCATTTTTATTCAAATTGGCCAAACATTACCAGGAATTTGGGATGAACACCTCATGAACAGTGTACCCATACTGGTTTTACAAGTACAAGATTGGTTTGGAACTGATTTAATTCATCCTGGAATTAGATGGGGAACCCCTAATGGACCTCACTGCTTCTATGGAACTGACCTGTGGCCCTGGTTACCTCCTGGGTGGACAGGAAGGCATATACTGGGACTCTTGTGGCTACAAGGCAGTGGGTAAAAGAACATTTCACAGCCAGCTGATCTTCCATACCTTCAACACAGGTGGTCCCAGAGTATATTCTGCTGCCGCAACCACCTGACCTCCATCTTTGTTCCATCCTTAAGATTAGAAGATGTCATTTGGCACACAGAATTATGAGCCAGGTACACTCAATGGACCCTCAATGATACCTTACAAGGGACATCTTATTTAAATACTGAATTTAAGTTAATGAGACAAGTGGTTCTTTAAAACTGCAAAGCTGTGGGTATCCTAAACACTGCCCAGGGTAGAACATATGCTATTAGTAAAACTGAATGTTGTATATATATTCCTAATAACTCTGATAATGTTTCTTCAGCGATTCAAGATCTTTACCAATAGGTAAAGGCTGTCTGAACCTGAAACCCTCTGGGGAACCTTCCTATGGCAAGTTTTTATTAATTCCTACTGGTATAAGTGATTATTAATTATTGGAGTGATTGCTCTTTTTAATTTTTAAAAATTGTTACATGTTTTCAGTACATAATGTTTACATTTCTTGTGTGGAGTTGGTATATGTACATAACACATCTTAATTCCTCTTCATCCCCTTCCCATTTGAAAAAGATCAATCTCCCTGCTTCCTACTATCTATCTTTTATTTTGCTCTTTATTTATAATTTGGGCTTCTCATATAAGAGAAACCATGCAATCTTTAACCTTGTGTGTCTGATTTATTTCACTTAACATTATGGTCTCAAGGTGCATCCATTTTTCTACAAATGACTAGTTTATGGCAGAATAGTACTTCATTGTGAGTAAATACCACATTTTCTTGCCCCATTCATGTGCTGATAGACATAGAGGCCATGTCCAAGATCTAGCTGTCATGAATTGTGCTTCTATAAACGTGGATATACATATAAGGGGTGATTGTTCTTTTAATCCAGTTGCTGGGATTTACTTGCATATCATGCTTTGTCTCTTCCAGATTGAGGTCCATCTACCTACAAATGATATCCAGGTGGAGATATATGATATCTGTTGGGGGCCATCAGACCCTCTGTAGAGTACTCCTTATTTTTTTTTAATTAAATTCTTTTATTGGTACATAATAGGTATAAAACACAATTAAATTTCTCACTGGGAATTGTACCTTTACATAATGCATCTTGGTTCTTATTTTTCCCCCATTCCTAGCCCTCCCTTCACCCCCTCCACCCTTCCCTATTTACAAAGACTTTATTTCCATTTTTTCCATTTCTCATCATTTTTCCTTTCCCTTCTTTCCTTTCCCCTGCCCCTCCCACTACCCCTACCCCTTTGGACCTTTTCTTCCTATTTTATATTATCGATTATTCATTCTAATCATTGAGAGTACTCTTTACTTTTAAAAAGGTAATTATCCTGGTTTAATGCAGTCAGGCATGATTGTTGTTGTAATATGCTCTAAATTAACTAAATTGTGTACTGCTAAATTGTTACATTGTACATTGCTTACAATTATATAACTGACAAAAGCCATGTTTGTTTTGTTAGATAAGATACAGTGTTGTTCAAAAATGTATGGTCTTAGTAAAATAAACATTTATTCTGTATTCAAAAATATTTTCGGGGACAGAGATTTAGCTCAGTGGTTCTGCATCTGCCTTGCAAGCGCAAGGACCTGAGTTCGATCCCCAGTACCCCCCCCCCAAAAATATATATATTTTCAGTTCTGTATATGTACCTAAAAAATCCTAAAGATGTAAACTAAACTTCTTGGTCTTGGCATTAGCTAATTGTGTGCTTTATCTCAAATGGTAATTTACATTAGTTTACAAAAGAAGGAAATTATTAAGTATTTGCTTGATATACCTTTCTGGTGGAACTAAGCTTGCTTCACAGAAATATTATTTAATTAGTATTTAACTATTATTTAAATATTCTTTAACTAAGATGCTTCTTAGTTCAGGTCTACTGTACAGACTGGATTTACCTTGCTCTTATTGGCTTCTTTTATGTCTGCCTATAAGCTTTGTAACTTTTTGTCAAAGCTTTGTTTAGGGTGCTGACTACAAAACAGACAGGAGTAGGCTTGACAGTGGACTCTAGATCAAATCACCTTAAAGACCACTCTTTCTAAAACTCTGATATTGCTCAAATTTGGCAGCAAGGGCATGACAATGTGGGACATGTTCTAACTGACCATCACTGGGGAAAGCTATCTCCGATCCTAGGGACAAGGATGCAGATGGTTAATTGGTAATGCCTTCAGAAAGGAAGAAAACCCATTCTGAGACAAGGGGTAAAGTTATGAACATCAAAGAATCACCTGTGTGTTGACCCTACCTAAATAAGTAGAGCTGCAGGTTATAAAAGAGGGTTCAAACGCATGATTGCCTAAAAACAAATAGCCCTTCTAGCAGGTATGGTGATTAGACAGCTTTTGACTGTAGCTTTCTCTTGTATGTGATATCACAAACTTTAGTGACACTTTGTCAGGCTCAAGCACCTGACTTTCCCTGCTGTGGTGGAATGTGTGTGCCAGTCCAACATGACACAGCCAGCCAGATAATGGAGCACCTCAAGACCCTCAAGACTATTAAAGCAAGAGGGAACTGTAACTGGCACTCAAAATGGAACGTTGAAAGTTAAAATTTTTTCTTTTAGTGATAAAACGACATCTCCAAACTTCCTCCTGATAAGCATATAACCAACACCCCTCCTCTCAGCCCTGGAAAGAAGTAACATGCAGATGCCAGCTCCAGGAGGCTGGGGTCCAATTTTCTTCCCATAACAAAGAGGAGGATGAACTGATAAAGATGGCTAGAGCAAGTATGGAGATCTGCATTCTCTCTCTGTGCTTACCTTTTCCTCTGTTCTTCGCTATAAGAAACTGTGTACCTGATGAGATAGAGATGTGAGGCAAATAAGCCTTTCCATGTCCTCAAACCTAGCTTTGAATAAATCATTTATTCTTTTTACCAAAATATATGGGCTCCTTTGATCTGGTCCTTGATAAGCAAAGGAACCTGAGTTTATGAACTTAAGAGGTCAGTAACATTTGGACTCCAGGACTTACCCCCTTCCCATTTCTCTTGCCTTCGGCTAGGACTGAGTCAGACCAGCAGCTCCCTTGGTGGTCAGGCCTCACACTACCATTACGCTGGTCTCCAGCTTAGAGAGGACCTGTCTAGGGACTTCCAGCCTCCCTAAAAGCATGAGCCAATCTCCCTAATAGATCTTCTCATGTCCATATCTATACATCTTGTTGGTCCTCTCTTTTTGGAGAACCCTGGCTAATACTAGTACTAGTGTTTCCTTCATGGAATGGAATCGGAGGGTTTTGGAGGAAGCCCATTCCTTTCTACATCTGCACTGTTTGATTTTTTTTTCTTTAGTAGTGGCAGTTTAAAAAATAACTTAAAAGGAAAACATGAAACACCTTTACTGTTTTAACTCTTTATAGATGAGGAACTATGTTGAGTAAGCAGAAGCAATTTCCAGCTGGTAGTGAGTGTATTTGAATGTCCACTACTTCCTGTGTTCTTGGAATCATTGCCCTAAAACCCCCTTGCCCCAGCTCCACCCTTCTTAGCAGAGGTGCTTTGTGGGGGAACTTGTCTGTGGCCCTCCTGGCTGAGTATGCTTTAAAAGAGCAGATGCCCTGGAGAGCTCTGGGGGGTTGACATTTGCAGGAGGTAGATCTGAGCGAGGTGCTCCCCAACACCGCTGGTGTGCACGAGCAGAGTATGAGCAGCCCTGACATGGTGCTTGAGGCCTGCACTCGGTAGGCTCCACCAGCCTGTGGTGCTGATCTTACACCTGCTGCATTGTCCAAAGAGCAAAGGAGGCTTACTTTCCCACCCCCAAGAGTACTGTTCTTCTGGAATTTCCAGAAAGCTCCCTTCTCTGGAGGGCAGTTAGACTCCTGAGAAGCCACCCTGAATGCACCAGTACCATGCACCATGCTGCCTTGTCCTTGAGGTGAGCCTTCACTTCGGGGGGCATAATATTTCATTTTGCTAGACAACAACTCCTATTTCATACCTTATATCAAAATAATTTCAACTGGATCAGATTTAAGAGAAAATTGAAAGACCATTAAAGCATTAGAAGGCAACATAGAGAAATTTCCTTTTTTAAAAAAAAAATGATCTAGGGCCGGGGATTTAGCTCAGTGGTTTCACCGCCTGCTGCACAAGCGCAAGCACCCAAGTTTGATCCCCAGTACCAAAAACAAAACAAAATTAAAAAATGATCTAGTGGAGAAGGATGATGATGGACAAAGGCTATGAAGAAGCATTTAATAGAAAAGGAAATTCAAATGGCTTGAATTACATAGAATTGGAAAACACAAAATAAAATGATAATGGGATACCAATTCCTGCTTGTTGGTTTGGGAAATTTTAAGAAGTTAGTTACTTCCTGTGTGGACTGTGTGTGGAGGGAGCACCCTGGGAGGGCAACTAAGGCATTTGATTTGACCTTCCTACTTTACCTCTCCCCTCACTTAGGGAAATTCCCCTTAAAGTCAGTCTTCCACTATGACATTAAAAAAAAAAAAAAGAAATCTAGTACTTCATATCTCTGGCTTGTCTTCTAGTACCAATTTTATCTTAACTTAGAACCAACTGGGCTTCCCTTCTCTTACCTTATGAGGTAAATAAAGGGGCTGGTCCATTTGAAAGCTACTCACCTCACTCCCAGGAAAGCCCCTGAGCGAAAGTGCTGTGCTCAGCCTGCAGCGACACTGGCTGGTTCTTCTGCTGTCTTCCTTCTGGTTACCCTGGTTTAGGGTCTGAAGAGAAAGCAGGAGGCTTGTTCGGGCCTTGGTAGTCTTGGGCCTTCCAGGGCTCTCCAAACAGCTGTCCACTTCACTGTAGCTTCCCAGAGAAACCATGGAGATGGCACTAGTCCTGCCCGGGTAGTGGAGACTGGTCAGCTGAGCCCCAGGCCTGGGACTATGAGGCTTAGGGCTCAAGGGTCTGCAGGGCATACCTTGGTTTCCACAGACCAGGCAACAGGCTGAGGTGCAGGGAAGGGTGCAGCTGATGCCAGCCTGCTGGGCTCCGAGGCCGGTGGGAGCCTGCAGCCAGGACTTATGAGGGAAGGTACCAGAAGGGAAGGCCCCACCTCCCTCCTCAGGGGCTGTGCATTTGATGGTTGGTTCACTTTTCCTTCTGGGCTCTGGGGAGACTGAACTGCTGGATGACAAAGGTGCAGGAGAGTGTGGGGCGATCCAGTGATCTCTACACACATAGCTCTCTTTGTCTTCAGTGCACTCTTCACAGCAGCTGCTGGACACTGGTGGGCTGGGGCAGAAGGGACTCACTAAAGAGGGTCTTCCAGGGGCTTCCACATTTTTACTTTTCAGAAATGCACGCCAGGAGCTCTGGCGCGGCCTACTCTTTTCCTTTTCGCCCTTCAGGGACTCGGGAGGGCGTTCAGTAGCATTCTCTTTTTCTATAACCTTCAACTCAAAAAGATTCGAAAAGGTCTTCTGAGCTGAGGCCAACCTTGCCCTGAGCTTTCTCTCGGTTATTTTAAGTCTCTTTGCGCTACAGCTTTCTGAGGAAGGTCTTGTGTTACCAAGGTCTCCTGGTGTCCCCTCATGCCAGCCTGCCACCGGCTGTGCAGAGTCTTTGTTTGCACACTGAGGTGCTGTCCCGGGAGAAGCGCTCCTGTGTCGGTGGTGGAGAGGTGTCGCGTCCCAGCCTGCTGCAGCCACGGAACTCTCTGCATTGAGCTCTTCCAGAGCTGAAGAACCTGGGGTGCGGCCCCCTGCGGACAGGCCCTGGCTCCCAGCAGCCAAGGGCTTGCCCTTCCTCAAAGAAGTTACCTTGAAGAACGACAGGCGCTTCCCCGACTCCTGCGTGCCCGCGCGGAGTCGGTGGGTCACTGCCGGCGTCGGAAGCGTGCTGGCAAGGAGGTCCTTCTCCAGTGCGCCCGGAACCTCAGATTCTCCTGGCTTGCACTCCAGGCTCTCCGCAGAGTGCGGGCCCTCGGCCTGCTGTGCGCCCTCTGGCTCGGGCAGCAGGCTTTCCTCACGTATCCTCTCTTTCGGGGGTGCCTTAGCGTTCAGTGTCTCCTGGGAAGTGTTTCTGGGGACCAGAACTCCTCTGAGCTTTGCGCTTTGGATCACCAGCTGAAGAGCCTGATCACCCTCTCCTGGTGTAGGGGCTGAGGGCAGCTCACATATCGATGTTTTCCAGGCTCTGGTAGACTCACAGGGGGTTCTGCCAGTACTTCCTGGAAATACTGGTCTTCCCCATGGAAAGCCACTAGACTGTGATTCTAGAAGTGAGCGCGCTTTCCTCCTGGTGGCCTGTAGAACTTTCTGCTCCACAGCTACAATGGTGAGCGTACACCTGCCCCTCCAGGCCTTACCTGCTTTGTACTCCAGCTGCCCACCAGGGCTGAAGGGCCTGGTGCCACCCCCAGGCCAGTTCTCACAGGCCTCCTCCCCAGGGTCACAGGGAGGCACTGTGGCTGCTGGGAATTCAGAAAGATCCTGAAGGGCATTTTTCCTACGCTTAAGGTCTAGTACCATTGCCTCTTCAGCTTTCTTTGAAGTGTCCATGGCCCGGGATTTTGGGGTAGTCTCTGGGGCATCGGAACTGTCACCCACTTCCCAGAAGCCCATCCCATCTCTGCTCCATACCCTGGCTGCACCATCACAGTGACCTGGGAAGCTGGCCCTCCTGGGCAGCTTTCTTTTCTCACTTGGAAGACACTTTGATGTATAATTACTGGTTTGGTTTCCTGCCTGGACAGCAACTGACTGCAGGTGGTTTTGTTTACTGCTCACATCAGCAGGGTAGGCTGCTGGGCAAGTGCGTTGGGGTTCTTGGGGCCTGCTTTCTGTGCTGTGTTCCAGCTTGTACTCAGCAGGCCCAGGCACTTCCTCTGGACCGCCGAGCCTCACCAAGTCTGAAGTCAGATATGGAGCAGCTGGGCATGACCTGGAATCCTGTCTCAACTGGTTTTCCTTCAGGAGACCTTTCAAAGGTGTGTCCTGAGAAGCCCTTTTCAGGTTACACCCACTGGATCTGTACTGGGCCTGCAAATGAGACCTGCTCTGAGTAGCACAGAGTAACTGAAACAGCTGGGCAGGTGCAGGGGAAAGTGTGCCTTGTATTCTTGGATCTCTTTCAGTCTCCGTCCTTTCCCTTAATGGAGTCCTAAACTCCACACAGTTCTGCCCCACGGAACCCTCCGGATAGTTTAAGTGAACCCCTGGTATGGAATGGGCCCTGGCCAGTGTCCTGTGTTGACAGTGGTGCCCTGGGGGTACCCTCCAGTTATCACCAATATCTTCTAGGGTACTGTGGTGATGCTTGGCATGTAAGAGGCAAGCCAGAGAAGGCTGGCAAGTCGCACCCAAGTAGGACTGGGCCCAGAGTAGGTCTTTGTCCACTTCAGGAACTGGAGTATCTCCTTTCTTTGTCCTGGTCTGCAGGAAGACTGTGCGGTCCAGCCAGCCCCTGTGAGGTAGCTGTAGTTCCCTGGCCCTGCTGTGGGTTTGCAGCCAGCTCTGACCTAGTTCACAGCACTGCAGGACGAAGGGCCAAACTACAGGGATGTCCAGATAGCTCTCAGATCTGGATTTCTGAAGAGAAGCACCAGGAACCCCTCTGAAGTTCTGACCAGTCACTTTCTGTGCAGGTTGGGGACTGTGCCTGCCAGAGATACCTTGAGAGGAACACCCTCCTGGCACAAATTCTTGCTCCAGCCTGGTTGCACAATCCCAGATGGGTTCTTCTTCCTTATTCCCAGCAACTGCAGCCAAGGTGTACAACTCATTTTTGTAAGACTCTTCCCTAAAGCTAGGGGACAAATCTAGTTCTTTCTCTGCATCAAGTCCAGGGCCACAGGTTGAATGCTGGTCCTGGGATGGTCTAATTGGTGGGACATCAGGCCAACCCCAGCCTGCTTCTCTGTCTATGGAAGGACCACTTGGAGGGAAGCAGACTGGCCCAGAGGGGTTGATAGGCAGGGACCCTGTGTCAGAGGCAGTTTCAAAGAGGTCATTTTTTGTGTCTGATTGACTTTCAGTCTCATGGGACAGGCTGTCAAAGTCATCATGGTCTGTTTTCTGGCTCCATTCCTGCTCCTCTGGTTTTGTGGAGGATGAGGGAAGTGGGTTATCTTCAATTGCACCTTCACCTGGCAGATGTGTGGCTGCTTCTGGAATCTGAAAGGACAAGAAGGGAAAAGTCAGAGACAAAACCTGAAAACCTCAGCATATCTGTACACCATGCCTGCCTTCATCAGAAGGAAAAAGGCTCAGAAATGCCTCAGTTCCCCATGTTCCCTGAGGAAGGGAGGTAAATATGAAGAGCTCCTTTTCTTTTTTTTTTTTTTTTTGGTGTTTGAGACAGGATCTCACTATGTAGTTCAGGCTATCTTTGAACTCACTGTGCAGCCCAGGCTGGCCTCAAACTCAGGGCAATCCTCCTGCCTCAGCCCCTGGAGCGCTGGGATGACAGGTGTCCACCACCATACCAGACAGAGCTGCCTTTTAGCAAGAAAGAAGTGGTGAAGCCAACACAAACAGTAGGAAGAAAATGTATCACATAGTTAAAACAACCTTATTAAAAAATCAGAATAGCCCAAATGAGCATGAGGAGAGCTTCAATATGTATAAATATGTTGCATGAGTCATGGTGAAAAGCCTATCTCTGCCTTATGTTTCCAGCAAGAAGGAACAAATTAATATATGTTTGTCTTGTTTTCTGTATTTGCTTATATAATCACCTGGCTTCCACTCAATATTCTTGAATTTAGGACTATTTTCTAAGTTTTGTTTTCTGAAGAAGGAAAAAAAACCCTCAAGATTTAATGAGATTGCAAACTCATTTTGAGATGAGAACAAGAAAACTAGAGAACTATGAAAGTGTTTGCAGAATTTCTTTTCTTTGTTGTACATTTCTTAATCTACTTATTGAAATATAAATTTTTGTATTTGTACAGATCTGAGTTTTGACAAAAGTAGATGCCTGTGTACTACCACTATGAAAACAATCTATTTTAATTTCCCAAGAAAGTTCTTGTCCTTTCCCACCTAATCCCCACCTCCCTGTTTTTCTTTTGCTCAGTTAATGACCTATTTTCTGGTACGGTCCGGATTTGCCTGTGAAATGTTTTACCTCTTCTGGAGTTTCACATGGTCAGAATCTACCATTGGGGCCTGGCTTTTTAGTCTTAGGCATGATGGCTGTAGCATGCCTCAGTATATACAATGACTTCAACTGTGAGGTAATGCTGCACCCCACGCTCAATTATCTAACACCCAAGCTCCCCTGGACCAGGAGTGGGGCAGATACTCAGCCCTGCTTCTAGCCAAGTCTTCTCACAAATTTTGTACCTTCCCAAGTATGGTTTCCCAGGACTTGCAGAGAGATTTTTGAAAGTAAAATTGCTTTTAACCTTCCTTAGCTAAAAGAAGGAAAATAAATATTTAAGCACATGCTATATGAGGTTTATTAAGGAGCAAAGTGGAAATGCAGGGATAATAGGATAACATAATTTCAAGTATGCTGCAAAGCATAAAAGGGTAAGGAATAGGAAAGGAAACATTAAAAACATTGGTAAAAGAGGGCTATGTGGTTGATAAGAGGTGCTCAAAAGAAGAGAGAGAAAGCCAAGCCCTGCCTGGAGTCCATGAAAAATACTTGATCCTTTGCCTCTGTGGTACCAGGAAGCCTGATGCACAGGCAGACTAAAAGCCCGCATCCATGCCCTCCCTCCTGTGCTGGGGTGAGGTCAAGTGAGTTGGGGCTGCAAACTCGCCTTGGCACACACAGAAAACTGCAATGGCAAGTTTGCGTTGTCACTCGGAGGGAACCAAGAACACCAAGACCAGTGGCTCTTGTCTTCAAGAGCACTTCAGGCCCTCATCCCGTCAACCTGGTCACTACACTGAGAACTGAGCTCCGGACTGTGATGTGGGAGTAATCCTACCAACACTGCCAGAGCTGGATGTCACTGGCAGACTCGTGTTGGCATCCATGTGTATGTGCTGCAGGCCCAAGGAATTTCAAAGTCCCAGGTTCCAGATGACCACCAGTGAGGATACTGATGAACAAAATACCAGAATGTTATTTCCTGCAGGCCAGCTCAGCATCACACCCATGGCACAACTGTGGGGAGGGAGGCTGAAGCTGAGGGTCTGGCCTCCTGGGCTGGCTGGTCATGCAGGGAGGGTGCGGACTTTAAGTTCCAGGTATTTTGGCAAGAGACCTGGCTCTGGCTCAGTGAAAATGAAAGCCTTTTTTTTTTGTTTTTGTTTTTTGGTACCAGGGATTGAACTCAGGACCTTGCACTTTCGAGGCAGGTGCCGGAACCACTGAGCTAATTCCCAGCCCCCTGAAAGGCTATTTTTTTTGAGGGGGGACTAATATAACTCCTCCAGGTTATAAAACTGAAAAATCTATGCCAGAGCACTTTCCAGGTGCTCATTGAAGTGTACAAATACTGAAAAATAAAGAAGACTTTAAAACACTTAGTTTAGTTGAATATTGGACTCTCATCTTACAAACAATGATTCAATCAGCCCTCTGTATCCACAGGCTCAACCAATAATGGATTAAAAATATTTTTTAAAAAGTATGTCTGAACTGTACATGAATAGCCTTTTTTTTTCCTTGTCATTACTTTCTAAACAATACAGTGTAGCTATTACACAGAACTTATATTGTATTAGGTATTATAAGTAACTTAGAAAAGACTGAAGGTATATGAGAGAATGTGTGTAGGTTACATACAAGCACTACATTTTATATAAGGGACTTAAGAATACAGGCATTTTGGTGTCTAAAGGTTCCTGGAATCCTCACAGACACTGAGGGATGATCATGCTTTCTTCCTAATTTGATTCCATTCAATAGTTTTCAGCATAAATCTATATAATGTAGAAGCAAAAAGCACACTTTTCCTGAGGCGTGGAGTTTTTATTTGTTTTATTTTTAGTAGGAATGGTAGTGGATCATCTTCAAACTCTTATTTTGTCACAGGCCGTGTACTTCCTAATTGTTCCATTGCTGTAATGATGTGAGGCCCCGAACACTAGGATGTTTGGCTTTTCTTCCATATGAAGCAGACAGCTATGGTTCATTTCCCCATGAAGGAACAGACTGATGACACAGGCAGGAACAGTGTAGACCAGCCACGGCCAGGATCCCCTCTGCCTGACCAGTGTTTCCTCCCTGCCCAACTCTTGCAGCAGCAAAACTCCTCCAGTGGAGATCCAGCCTTTTCCTCCCCAACACAGAGGACATTCAGTCTCCATACTTCATCTTCCATACCCTCTTTAAAAAAATTTTAGTATTTGAGGGCATAATATCTGTTCTAAATACAACTTCAGTTACATGCTAGTAGTTCTAATATGCGGTATTTTTACAATGTTGGCAATTCTATTTTTTCCCTATTCCTATTATGATTTCCTCCTTGACATTTATTAGGAATTTTAGCTATCTTTTTTTGTTGTTGTTTCTGATTTCTATTTCATTGCACTGTGATTGGAGAATTGTTCTATATGATACTGACTTTAAAATTAGTTGAAACTGGCTTTACTGCATACCACAAGGTCCAATTTAATAAATGGTTCATAGTGTTTGAAAAGAATGTGCATTCTGTAATAGTTCACTGCAGTGTTAAATACATGCTTACTACATGAAGCCTGTTGATTATATTTAAGTCCTCAGTAATCTTACTGGTTTTTCTCATGCTATTAAAAATGCTGAAATCACCACTGCAGGAGAGGATTAGTCAATTTCCCCTTTTAATTGTCATCATTGATGTACATATTTCAGCATTATGTTAGTTCAGCATTATGTTAGACTCATAAGTGAGTCTAACATTGTTGTGTCTGCCCGGGAAGGGTGGTTTTATTAGTACTAGTAATGAAAGGTTTTAGTTTATATCCCCAATAAAGGTGAAAGGCTATCTTCTCTTATACTAATCTACCTCTTTTCTTTTGAGTTACTATTTGCCCAGTCTGTTTCTCCATTATTTTATTATCAATCTATTTTCATTAGGAGTATTTCCACAGCCATATAGCTGGGTGTGCAGAATTCAGTCTTTCAGTCACTTTACTCACAGTTTGGCCCACAGCATTAGAGCAATCACTAACATGCTTGGGTTCCTATCCACAGTGCTTCAACCTTCTGAGCCCCTCTTTTTATATCTGGGAATTTCTTTTCTCTCTCTCTCTCTTTTTTTTTTTTTTTTTTTTTGTGGGAGGACAACTCAGCTATGGTTTGTTTATGAGGCTGCCTAAAGGAGTTATACTTTATTTCTAGGTTTATTTATTTTTGTTGCAAGGAACTTTCTGGAACCATTTGTCTAGCCTAGTTCTGGAATCAGAAGTTCCATTGTTTTGCTTAGTCAGTTGAAGCGCTGGATGACCTTTGCATTGAGAAACCCTAGACTTTTATTTCCTTTCTTCCCTTCTCCTCCTTTTTGCAGCTTTATCAATGAGTAACTGACATGAAATAAACCATACAAATTGGAAGTGGACAGCTGAAGTTTTGACACACACACCTGTGAAATCATGACCACAATTCATACATTTCTCTCACTTCCAAAGTGACTTCATGCTTCTTTGTAATCTTTCCCTTTTGTCCCTCTCACCATTCCTGTGTGTCCCTCTAACCTTGGGCAATCTTAATCTTTCTACCATTATAAATTAATTTGCATTTTCTAGAATTTCATATAAATGGAACCATATGTATATATTTTTTGGGTCTGTTCTTTTTCACTTTGTACAATTATTTTGATATTCATTTTTGTTGTTGCATGAATCAGGAATCCAATCCTTTTACTGCCAACTGGTATTCCACTATACAGCAATACTACAGTTTATCCATTCACCTCCTGATGTACATCTGAATTGTTTCCAGTTTTTGGATTTTCAAATACAGCTGCAGGGAATTTTTGTGCACAAGTCTTCATATGGACATTATGTCTTTGGTTCTCTTGGGTAAACACTGAGGAGTGGAGTGATGGTGTCCTGTGGTAGGAGTTTAACTTCTTTTTTTTTTGGTATGGGGGGTTGAACTCAGGACCTTGCACTTGAGAGGTGGACATGACACCGCTGAGCTAAATCCCTAGCCCAGGAGTTTAACTTCTTAAGAAACTGCAAGTGTTTCTCCATTCCTACACTCCACCAGCTGTGTGAGTCCAGCTGCTCCA